ACTGGGCCCCTCTCCTGGACTTCTCCGCGCTGAGTTTGCGTAGGCGCACATCCGCGCATTTGGCCTGCGTCAATACCTTCTGTACTTCGTTGTGCAGTCGTCCCTGTCCGGTGCCAGGAACGTCCTGTGATCCGCTGGGCTGTGCGGCTGCACTGTGCGTAGGCGGCACTTGGATACTGTCGTATCGCTCCGCACGAGCCCTGGATTTGGGAGACACCTTCGAAACACCCCGCCACAGCGAGTGCTGCCAGCTATCGAGGGCTGCCAGTCTTCCCATTCCTTGTCCTTTTGCCACTTCCTGCGTCCGCCGTGTCCTCCCATGTGGAGCTCTCGATAGGCACGTCTGGAGTGGTGCCGCGAGAGCAGGAGCAGGTCTCGTATCCAAGGCAGCGATCCCTGAGCGCGAAGCTGGCGGATACGTCGTCGTGCCTTGGCCCAGCTTTTCCGCGCACGGCGATGCCACGTCGGGCTCCTCGCCGTCGCACAAGCGCTATGGCACTGGGGTATCGGCAATGCGCGCCAGCTACGGGCGGCTCGATCCGTATAAGGCCCCCATAGTAGAAACCTACATACGAAAGCCCTAAACCCCCGCCGCCACCCGGCTGAAACCGCTAGCGTGACTTTCTCGCAAACACGCGGTTTGTGGAGAAACATGTTCATATTGCATGGCTGTGTGCAACTTTCGACAACAACAACAACACCACCACCACCACCAACAACAACAACAACACCAGCAGCAGCAGCAGCAGCAGCAGCAGCAGCAGCAGCACCACCAACAACAACAACAACAACCACAACAACCACGACCACGACGACGACGACGACGACCACAACAACACCACCACCACCACCACCACCACCAACAACAACAACAACAACAACAACAAAAACAAAAACAAAAACAACAACCAACAACAACAACAGCAGCAGCAGCAGCAGCAGCAACACCACCACCACCACCACCACCACCACCACCACCACCACCACCACCACCACCACCAACAACAACAACAACAACAACAACAACAACAACAACAACAACAACAACAACAACAACAACAACAACAACAACTCATGTTTTCTAGGTTCTGGCCCGCGCGTTTCTCTGGCATGGGGGGAGACCGCAGGGAATTGGTCCAAAATCTTATAAACCCAAAGCCTACAAGGGTACAAGATGTTTTGGCTTGCACATTTCAGGTTGTGTGCCTCTTGAGCAAAGGTGTGTCGGACGGTGGGTGTGTTAGCGTGTGTTCTAAGGGTTTAGGGCTTCGGGTTTTAGGGTTTAGGGTTTTGGGGGGTTTATGTAGGGCTTTTGGGTTTAGGAATTCTACTTGTGGTATTGCAGTTATAGGGCGTAGCTTTCCGGCTTTGTCTTTTTCAGGGTGTGACATGTTAGGGCTTGCATTGTCTCGGGCTTCTCACGGGTCATCGGCGCACAAAGACTCTCAAGCATCATATAAAGGGTTTTGAGGCTTGCATTGTTGTTACTTGCCTGGGAAGACCCTAGTCCCTTCAGGAGGCATCGAGTTTCAGTTGGGATGAAGGCAGGTAGGATTCAGCGTCCCTTGCAAGGACTGTTGACTGTTGTGTGAGATTCCCCCACCTAGCTTTTTTTTCTACCCTTGGAGCCTTTGGAGGTTTTCGGCTGGAGTGAGTAGGGCGTTGGAGTTTCCGGGTTTGCCACAGGACTGAGGAGAACGTAATTACCCCGCCAGACCCGCATCACTGAGAATGCCTAAAGGAAAGCGACGAAAACATCGTACAGCTTCGCATCGCTAGCCAGAATAACGCGTCAACCCCAACGCCACAACCCATTCTAAACTTTAGAGTTAAGCCATACCCTGAACCCCAAACCCTAACCTCCGGAGCCCTAAACCTGACAAAGCCCCACTCTCTCAAGCAACCTGAACCATCAACTCCTGCATCTTGGGTAACTATAGTGACTTAAGGGATATATATATATATATATACACACGGGTATTTATATATGTAATCATACCAAAAATCGTATCCAACTGTTACAGAGTAAGGGCAGTCGCCACCGGTATCTGCCCCAGTGCCTTCGATCGGGAGGTTGCCGTTTTCAGGGCACAGAGCGCCAGGAGGTCTGCTTGAGCCAACAGGCAGCCGTTATGGCAGAAAGATAGGGTTGGGTTGTCGGGTTGAGCTGTAGCCAACTGTAGCCCAAGAGAACCCATCTTTTCAGCGATAATCTATCTATATATATATATATATATATATCTATACATAGATTCATATATATATATATATATACACATACACATAAGAATAACAGGAAGCCGCCCGCACATTACTTTGGCTCAGGGCATGCAGGTTGTATAGCAGAAAACCCTAGGCCCTAAACCCTAAACCCTCGACCCAAAATAAACCCCTTCCTAAAGAGTAGCGTTTGGTATAACAAACACTGCGTTCTGAATGGCTCGCGGTACCTTTACCCTTAGGTAGCTGAAGAGTCTAGTCAACAACTTTGCGTAACTGAGAACTCGAATCAACAACTCGAGACCTGTAGAACCGAGATCTTGTGCATGCACTGATCTACGACTTAGCACGGAATGTGTTCGCCCCCTCCAAAAAGGATACACAGTCCTAAACCCCCGAACACTAATAGACTAAAGCCCCCCAAACTCAAACGCCAAAGCCCAACACCCTTAAAACATGAATCCTGAAATTCCGAAGGAACAACTTCAACTACAGTAGGATAGATCCGCAATGGCAAAGCAGACCTCGGTCCGGTGTATTCTGAAACTCCCTTGTGCTGCCCAGAGCCCAGCATATATCCTGGTACGGGCTCGTAGGGTCTATGCACATGTCAGGCCATAGAGTAGTGCAGTAGTGGGCGTGCTTAGTCCGGCTTTGGGATTTACAGCATAAAAGCAGCCTGAACCCACCCAGCATCACTGCGCACTGCTTGGGCTCAAAGAAAACAGCCTGCAGTTTTGTGGTGAAAGAAGCTGAAGAACTTTAGAGCGTAGTAAATGCCGCCAACTACGATTGCTGCCTACCGGTGGAGCCACACGTAAATATGAGAAAGCCCAACACACTCTATCTCAAAGCCTGAGAAACACGAGCCAACTATAAGGCTGAAGCAGTGTGTGCATGTGTATGTATAGAAATAAACAAATGATATGTGTATATATATATATGTATATATATATATATATTGTTTATCTCAGTTTTATACACACATACGTACGTTGCGTACATTCCACACAAGCATGCGTATGTACACAGCTACCTACCTGCCTATATCTACCTGTCTACTTAAACCTACTTACCTGCCTATCCACCCACACCCGCCCACCGACCGACCGACCAGCAGGTGGGCGTGGGTACTGTGCTGTATGCACATATCCCTACCTCTGCAGCCCTTTACATATGCGGAAGTATGTACTCACACTTACTATTCGTGCACATATTTGAACGCGTGCGTGCCCCATGCCTGCCAGGCTGAGTAGCAAGCGAAAAACTGAACAAGTTGACAAGTTGATACCAACTACGAGTCCCACAGGCTACACATATAGTACCATTATGGAACCAGGTCCCTGAAACCTTAAAAAAGAATGCTATTCTGGGACCTAACTCCATAATCATAGTATATATGGAGCCTCTAGGAGTGAGACATTTCTGTGATGGACTCTGGAGGCTGAGGTTGAGCCTTGTAGTTGTACTTCATCCCAAGGTGCCTCGCCCTTTTGCCGCACCATCAAGACGAGAACCGCTAAAATCGGGATCATGAAATCGAATCTCCGGAAGCATCTAGAGCTATGTAGCACCATCTTCGAAGCCTCAAAGCGCTGTCCCCCGAGACTACAAGCCTGTGAATGCTGAAGCCTCCCAAGTGAACACAACTGGGAGAGTCTGAACCACCGTTTGCTCAGGCTTTACATATCATTAAGATGTAGGTTCTAGAGTTTAAGGTTTGGGATGTTTTGGGGTACAGTGTCTAGAGATATGAGAGACACGTTATGTGAAAGTCCGGCAACCTACAACCTAACACAGGCTGCTTCCGGGATGAGCGGGGAGCTGCCTTTGGACAACATGCCTTCAGCATGCCAAGGCCTCTCTGATCCTGCCACCCTGCATGACCAAACCAGGCTTGGCCAAGCATTGAACAGTGGGATTGCCCCTCAACGCTAAACCCTGAGGCTCCTCCAATCTCAAGGGTTTTGGGATGCTTGGCAAAGGCTTACAAGTTTACGGCCCAAGTCGGATGCTCGTTTGTACTGTGAGGAATGCGCAGATAGATCTTCGACACGAATGAGACGAAGACCACGAAAGAGACTACAACCATTAGTGTCTGGCTTCAGGCTCAGGGATGTGCAGGTACTGCGCTTCTTCTACCTGTGTATGGCGGCCCTCTAGGGATACTAGTGCCATTCAGGCTTCTTTACTAGGGCTTATGCACATTATGATGTTCGAAGCGGACTCGAGCTGGACATCTGGAGATGCAAAGCGGGGCAGCATATCACATGGAGAGTAAGTTAGCTTGTCGCTGCGATCACAGTCAGAACGTACCTTCGGTCATGCAGGATCTGAAGCGCAGACCGGTTAATAACTTGGGACACTTCCGCGGACGGAAAGGAACATAGAAATTCCTAGGCAGCCCAACGACAATCGGAAAGCCGTTGGGAAGCAACTACGATCGCCCGAGGATGGGCTAGTAACGGTGGATACAAGCAGTCCACACGGCCACTGAAGAGCCCTAAGCCCTAAACCCTGCACCCTAGACCAGCACCTGTCTAACTTCGTCCTATACGACCAAGCTCGCCCTAAAGCCCTGGTTTCGTTTGAATGGGTTGGGGTGTAGCGCAGTTAAGGGTCTACGGTGTGTAGAGTTAGCCTCAAACCTTGCTTCGCACAGGCCCTAGACCAAATCCTAAACCCTAAACCCCTAAACCCTAAACCCCTAAACCCTAAACCCCTAAACCCTAAACCCCTGAGCCCTAAACCCTAAAAGACTTCGCTTCAGCAGCTCACTACTATTCAGTACCTCCGGCTGCGAAGTTCTCCCGGCACGTGGGGCACGAGCCCCGATTTCTCGAAGATGAGATGGCCCAGGAGGCGATACATTCCTGCGGGGGTTTAAAGAATTTCGGGACTTGGGTTTACGGTTTAGGGGGGTTTAGGGTTTACAGGGTTTACCTTTGTTTTTTGATTTATAAGGGTTTTTGTTTGGTGGTTTCAAGGGTTTAAGGCATAAGGCATTTCGGGTGACATGTATCTCTGCTCGGTAGCACAGGTTTTTCAAAACCGTGAACCTAGCTTTAGGTATATGGTTCTGCTCCCAGCATGCTTCGTGATTGCTGTGTCGATCTCCCAAAATAGCCTATTGGCAAAGTCGTGCATGCCCTTCTAAAGCCATCCTGCAAAGCCCTATAAACCACCGCACGACCTGTTCAACCTCTACATCCTAAACCCTAAACTCTGAAACCCTAAACCCTGAAACCCCATGTTTGAACCACCCTTGCCATGGCTCCTGGTGGAAGACGTGCCCGCATGGGAGCACTGCCACCTCACAGGACTCCTCGAAGTCCTTCAACAAAAGCACTGGAAGAGGGTTTGGGATTTAGGGCTTAGGTTGAGGGTTTAGGGTCCTCCAGGCAGCATATGCAAGTCTGCGTGGACACCGCCAGGGATTGCGCCTCGACCTCTTCGAGTTTGTTCTCTCTTCTCTCGACTTATGGGGAGTTTACAAGGTTTGGAAGGAGCTGTTCCTGCTACAGGTTAAAGCTCTTCTGCATGTGTGTATATATATATATACACATATGCATGTGTATGTTTGTATCATACACATACATATGTATATATTAATACATAAATATATATATATATATATATATATATATAAACATATTTGTGTATATGTGCAGGTTTATGCATCTGCAAAAAACAGTATAACAGAACACGGTGTGTAGCAATGCTCTCTCTCTCTCTGTGTATATATATATATATACATATATATATATATATATACATACATACATACATATATATATATATATATATACATATTAAGAAAATGTGTGGGGTTTGAGGTGGGAAAGACCGCCGGAAAAAGGATTCACCGATCTGAATATTTGGATTTTGCGGCCTAGATGCAAGAGTTTCGGGGCTCGGTTATGATTACAGCAAACAGGGTCTTAGGGTTTATGACATATTGTCACTACTCTACTATAGTTGCAGGAAGGACTATTCACGGGTCCGTAGTCCAACTCATTTCGACTCATTTCGTAGGGCTTTGGTGTTTGGGGGTTTAAGGGTCCAGGGTGTTGGATACAGACAAAGCTGTCAGGCATCATCGGGCCGCCGAATCAATGCACCGTAACCTGCGAACCCTAAAGACGGACACCTCCAGTGCGTAGTCAAAGTGTCGGATCTGGTTGAGGCCGCTTGTGTTGTAGCAGCGGAAGTTTAACCTGCTCCAAGCAGTAATCTTGCCCTCAATGAGTACATGCTGCATATAGAACGACAGCACAGGCCACAGTGCGGGGCACAGCGGTACTGTCCCTACAAGTTATGGCGGGTGCTGCTGCTTTCCATTCATGATCATACAGCATGCGTACAACCCAAGCGTACCATGCCGAACCGTGCATGGCCATACCTATACATACACACAATCATGCATGCATGAATGCATATACACAAGTATCCACATGCAGAAAGATACACTTGCCGATCGACAGAAATTTAAACTACTGTTAGACTGGTAGGTAGGTAGGTAGGTACGTACGTAGACAGATAGAAGATAGATAGGTCGATGGATAGATTTGATAGACCGACAGCTGGGTAGATAGCTAGCTACATAGATAGACAATGATAGACAGATAGACAGAACGATCATGACATGTATACCGATGGAAGGATGGATGGCTAGACGGAGGGAGGGATCGGTAGATAGCTAGACAGAGATAAGATAGACAGATAGATCGACAGAAAGGCTCACGAGCAACCTGAAGTTGTGGTTTCATAACATCCCCCTATCCTAAATCCCGAACCTGCAGTGGCCCGCCTGTCGGAAGTCGCCTCAAGCTTACCATAAACCGTGGGAGCCCAAACCATCCATGAGTGCTGCGCTTGCATTTGCCGCGGTCGCGGCGGCTCTAGGAGTGGATCGAGAGGGTGTGCGCCGAGGTAGAAGGCGTAGAAGACAGAAATCAACAGGCAGCAGGGTGGTAGCACCCATAGCGCAACCACGTCCGGAGACCTAGTGCAAATGTGTCCCTCCCAACCGCCCGCACCCTCACATGAAACCCTTCGGCAACTAGACAAAGCATCGCAGGTGGATTCAGCTGGTTAGATATCTGTTGCTCATGTTGAGCAATTTTGTGCTGTGCTGTGTCCATATCTTTCATTTCTATGAAAACGGTCTGGCTTGCACCAAAGAGCTACACACACACATGCCGCTCGATATTCTTATTGCAATAGCCATGATATTGCGCTACCCACATCTGCCAGCTCTCGTAGTGTCACAACTACCACACACTGATGCGATCCCTGTTTCCAACACGATTGACTAGCTCCACTGTTGATCCTGTCATGTCGCCTATTGGCCTAGTGTCTGTCAAAGTCACGGGCTTCGTACCCTAAACCCTAAACAGCTGCTCTTCACCTTCTGAGGCTCAAGCAAAAATCCCAAACTCTGCTGTACAAGCATTATACTTCATTATATGTACTATAGTACTCATACCGTATATTCTACTATGTTTTATTATGTTGTACTGTATAAATATACTGGAAATGCTCGAAGAAGCGGGAGGTGATCTGGCATGACGAATGCCACCATTCCCATTGTTCCCATCGCCAGTAACAGGCCTGCTGTTCGAGTCCCGATCAGAGGTTTAGAGACGAGTATGGGGCAAAGGATTTCAACGTCTTGGATTGAGCGTTGGGCTGTAGCTAAACCTCAAAAAGTAGGTACCAAGCCCAAAGCCCAAAACCGATAAGGGGCTATTGTTCTACTTACTTACTTTCGGTGTCTTTTAGGGGTTTAACTGGTTTTAGGTTTGACCAGCCAGGCAACAGGGCCCATAAGCGAGTGCATGCAACTAGAAATGGCTGGCTACAGGGCCTAGGGTTTAGTGAATTCTGCATGGGTGAAGCCTAAACCCGGGCTTTCACAAGCAGAGGGACTAGATGGAGACAGCGGGTGAACTAAGAGATACTTACTGAGACCCGTCCCCGCCTGCTATCCTGCTATATTCCAGGACCTGTTTAGGCCGTGGCGCTCACTCCGTGTTGGCGACTCAACACAATGAGAAGACGAGGCTAACCGTGCGATACATCACACACATACAAGAGCAAAACTCGATTTCACCAAGTAGACCGTGGCATCCGATAGCAAAATGTTAGTAACACTGCTCCGTGCCTTTGATAATATCGAGTGTAGGGTCGCAAGATGTTGCAAGCCACTCGAGTCCTCAATAGACCCAAGGCCTAAAGCCCTTCTTGTCAGACGCCTAAAGCCCACAGCAAGATGATACGTCGTCATGCCCTGAAGCCCCGAAACTCTAAACCCTAGTCTAGAAGCCGCAATTAACCCTCGAAAAGGCGCTTGAAGCTAAAAACCCACAACCCAAGAGGCCAAACACTCTCCTGACTGCCAAGCAACAACATGTTCCCAGGAGACGGACGAAGCGCGGATTCTGCAGAACAGGGAGCATGGCGCATTCCAAGGGCTGTAGGGCGACCACCCCTTTGAAATGTCTAGGCTCCTCGTAGCAGGTATGTTGGTAATTTTGGTGCAACAAGAGCTGACATAGAGTTCCAAAGATGCTGTAGAGTTTAGGGAAGCTTGGTGCTTTGGGGCTCTGAGCTGGTCTTAGGAGCTTTGTGGTTTAGGGTTTATAGGGCTTGAACTAGTTGAGGTGGGGCGGGGTGCAGACCACCCCGCCGACAACCCCAAAGTGCTACCGCTGCATCTGTTGAGAGGCAAACACCAGGGCGACGAGCTGTGGCTCCGACATGAAGGCACACTAAACCCAAATCACTGTGATAGGCAAGCTTGGCCCTGCTGCATTGATATTGTGGCCCATGGAAGTCAAAGTCTAGGGACTTGCCAAACCGCTGACGCTGTCCCTATACGCAATGCCCAGGATACAGGATATGTGTAGGCTCTCATATAGCCTGGGCCTAGGCTCCATACAAAGCACTGCATCACGACGACACTTCGCAACCACCTGAACCCTCAGCATTAGACCCTATATGCCTAAACTTCGAAACCTGCAGACACCCTAAACCCTACTCAAACCCTCACTGAACCCCTGAACCCTAATTGCCTGAACATAGGGATTGAGGGTCGGGCTTTCTTGGTGGAGAGACTACGGCACGAAGGCAGCGGATTTGGGGTTTATAGGGTCGGCTCGATTCTCTTCTCCCCCTCGCTGCCCCTTTTTTCTGTTCGAGCGTCCGTCGAGACTTCCACTACTGGCCTTTACAGGAATGGAGGGTGCCCTCCCAGAAAACCGCACTTTACAGGAGTCTCCTTGAACCAAGAGACAAGGACTGACAAGGGACCTGCAGCTCTCGTCCAGATGAAGTTGTAAATTTTTCTGGTAGAAAAGTACACATGCTTCGCGTGCCTTGCTGGACTTGTTTCTTCATACTTATTATCCGGGTTGCTACGAGCGTTCACTCGAAACACCTGCATCCAAAAAAAACCTCAAACAGGCTCTGTCTGCAGGCGACGCAAACACATGTCTGCCACAAAAGGTCTGTACAACATGCAAGTAGAGGCACTTCTAAGTCCTGAGTAGTTTCTCCGGTCGAATGCATTGCATTGTAAAGAACTGAAACCAGAGTTTCAGCGCTACCTGCTGAACCCTCAACACGGCTACTGCTCAACTGTTAACTGGTTGCAGCTTACAGCCCTCAAACCCCGCCAACCTATAAACACCTCAGGTTGAAGACGTCATGCTGAAACGAAACCTTCTCCAAGATCTTCAACACCGAACTATTGTTTCAGAGCCCCTTGAACCTTGAACCCCTGAACCCTTGAACCCTAACTTTAAGGGCTTCTAGGGCTTACGGTTCACATGTTCATTGGAGCGCCTTATAGTGGGATGATGCAACCCCAACCTTAACACTTGACCCCAACATGTCAACGGGGTTAAGTCAAAGCTTGAAGCATGTCGATCTACAGCGGAGGGCCTGACTTACGTTCTGGGTTCAGAGCTCTATGGCTTTAGTGCTGCAGCTACTAGGGCTTCAGTCCTAGTTGTGTATTACAACTCTGTTTTTAGTAGTCCTTGGCGACTGTACACATCCGACTCTTGGTGCTTAGCCGCTGAGCACCCCGACCCTGAACCCCCAAACCCTGTCGGGTGTGCTAAGGTTCGTTTGCCCTAATGACGTCGGCATAGTACTGGGTCCCGGCACGAAACCCGTAACGTGATCATGGGGAACCTGAATAACTCCCGCACTTGGGGTGTAATTAGTCTTCAGGGCCGGTGGGTTCGGACGATGCATTTAGGATTCGACCGTTGGAACACGAAGGCAAGCTATCATTACAGTAGGGGGTTGTGTGCAGGGTCAACAGCTTACTGTAGGGCACGTCGTTCTGCCTTGGAAAAAGCTACTCAGTATTGAATGTGTGGATCAAGTTGCACTAGAGAGACCTATCTTTACTTTGCTGGGTCAATCTGGATTCGTGGAAGCGCACGGACCTAAGCAGCTAAGCTCCAGCGTGGCGTGCGCCTTTCAGAAACCGTTCGCTTTCGCGGACGTACCTCGAAAGATGGCCCCGCTCTTGAACCCCCGCATTTTGGAAAACACGAATCTCTGAATCCTGCCTGTGGGTATATATATATATATAAGATGTATTCAGAACTCGACAAATCTGGTTTGCGAGTACCTGAATCATACGATGCATGTTCATATGGACTACAAGTGGAGCCTATTATGTCTACTGATTGAGACTCTCTTTCCGGGCTTGGGCTAAATACGCGGCTCGTAGCGATGAGGTTTCAGGGTTTAGGGTTTAGGGTTGGGGATCACGAAGTAAAACATGCTGTATGGATGGCCAAACGTGCCAGCTATCAACCACGTGGCCTTAAAAGGTAAAGGGCTCTGCGCAGAACCCTAAAGTTGTTCCAGCTGTTCTAACCTCGTGGGTTTCAGATTTCATGGTTTAAGGAGCAATCATAGTTGAAGGTTCGGGATTTGGGATTATTAAGAATGACACAGGCTAATGGATTCTTGGTTTTTTACAGTGCAATGCCAGTGCAAGCAAGCTGCAACGCGTTTCCGTGACCTGATGGTACACGTCGACAGCTGTCTCGCGAAAAGAACACAGATTCACATCTAGGCCTGCGGGCAATACGGGAGCCGTAGCTATTCAGGATTTTGACATACTTGGCTGATGGGCCATTTTTAATTACATAGGCATCTTTTCGGTGATACTGTCTTTATTACTATGCCAAACTCGAGGAGCCCGTGGTCAAAGCCATGTTCTTGGCACTCCAAGCAGTGGCTTCGGATTTATGGCTACCTGGACCCCAACAGTATGTAGAAAAATTGCCTTTTAATGGATTTTCGGCTATTAATTTACCTACTGCTGGGAGTTTAGGTAGGAGTTTGGGTAATTTAGGGATACTGTAAGCGTGGGGCTGACGCCACTAAGCATCACTGTGTGCAAGTATAAGACATAAGCTTACCAACCACTTACAACGACCAGACAACGTCGGCACATAGAATTCGTCCGATTGCGTTTGCTACAATCGTGCTGCAGAGCTGTCTTTCCGGAAATCGCTCACTGCTGGTTCATTGTTGCTAATGACCGTTGTTGGCGTGACTCATTTCTACTCACAGGTAGTTCTGTTTGTTGCTACTCTACATGCAGTCTGCCAGTCGTCTGCCAGCCCAGGAACCAATGGGAGGCATCTGCCGCAATGCTCGCACAAAGCCAGCTTGCGACAGGAAGTCCTCAGCAATCCATCACACACAAAACCCCCAAATGCCAGGGACAGAAAATCTAGCAGGATTGCTTTAAAGATAGTCAGACTCAACCCCCAAGAACACTTTGCATTTTGTTGCCTTGAGCCGCTGAACTGCTAAATGGTACCTGCGTTTCCAATTATTCAACTCTAGTAAGGGAGCTCTAAAGCCAAAACACAACAACATAAGGATGCTACTGAATTCCTGCAGGACCTACAAGCCACAGACTTCCCTAAAACCTAAACCCTAAACTTCTCGAAACTTCCCTAAACCCTACATCCCAAGACCTAAGCTCCCCTAAACCTTTCGAAACCTTAGGAGGCGGCCAACCTCCGAAGCCTCCCTTCGTGCGGTTTTGTGGTTGGCCTTCAGTGTACGGTTGTAAGCCTTACATATATACTAGACCTTATATGCCCTAAGCCAATTAAACCGCCCAAAACCCCTGAAACCCCTAAACCCTACACCTTCAGAGTTCGGGATTAGCGAGAAAGCCGAAATACCATCTTGAATACATATGTACATATATGTATATGCGTATAAGTATGTACTAAAATGTACATGTACATATACATATACATACTTATGTTGAAGACTGGGGTATGTATATGTACAGTAAGTTATACACATGTCTGCTGTGTATATTCGTTTATCGTTGGATGATCACGGCTGTTCCAACTTCCTGGCTTCTGACTCAGGGTTTGGAGTTGTAGTCTAGATCTCTAGATTTAAAGTGAAGGAACTTTAGGATGTGGGTCCAGAAATAGGGTTTAAGCTTGGGGATTTAGGGCTTGGATGGCCGCCGGCTCCGGACATGTGCTCCCGAAGAACTGAACCGGAGAACCATACATCACAGATGCCAATCGCCATTGCAAAGCCCTACCCTAAACCCTAAACCGAACCCCTGAACCCTGAACCCGAAGCCGGACCGCCTGTGATGCACACCCCCGACAGCCCAAAAACGTTTGGAACTGGAACCCAGAACCTAAACGCGAAAAACCCTGCTTCCTGCACCGCACCTTTTAACATCCTTCAACCGTTGCAATGCAAGTCGTAGCTGCAATAGTACATATATGTACGTTTCATAATCGGCAACCCTAGATTCCCTAGACTCTAAACTTTAAACCCTTATACCAAATGCTCAAAACCCTGCACCTTTAACCCCCAAAGTGAAGTGCGACAGAGTCTCGTGGAGATCGCTCTCCATGCAGCCGCCCTTGTAGTGCTCCTCCCATGATCAATTGCAAGCTTGGGGGTTAAACCACGGCAAACCTTTAACCCTCAACCAAGCCTAAAGGAGGAGCCAAAACCCGAAATAAAGCTTGACCTTCAGACCCTTAAAACATGTGCAGTGCTACGTCTCATACACGTGAACGTGTATGGGATCTGAAGCATAAACCTTTTCGGGAATCCCTTAGAAACACAATGTGACATCCTGTAGAACCCTTATAAACCCTTCTGGATCCCGTCCGAATCATGCATAGTGACTTCAGTGTTTATGGGCTTAGGGTTAACCCTAAAGCCTCTAAACTCCCTAAACCCCGTTAACCCTATAAAGCTTAGGGTATAGGGTTTGTTTAGGGTTCAGGGCAGCCTTAACCTTGGACTCAGCTTTCAAGAGCGGGGTTTCCCGGCTTGGCTTCACGTTCTAAGGTCCCGCACCTCAGTAAATAAGGTTCCCAATCCCAATGCCTTAATGGAACTCTAAGTATAGCTACCTTCTTCATAACCCTAGATGATCCGGCAAGTATCTGCCATGAAGTTGTAAACTTGCTGACCTCATGCATTTGGAATAGAGACAAATGACTACCGTCGCGAATCATGTTTTCCCAACTTTCAAGTTTATGCGTTTTGCTGTAGAGGTTTTACTCCTGAGTAGCATCAGCATCTGAATACTTGCAGCATGATAGCCCCCAGCAGTCCGCATGTAGATATGATGTAGCAGTATACCTCGAAACCCTGTCCTAGCTTTTTGCCGCTGTTCACCAGTAATAGTGTTGCTTTAGGCTCCGTCATGTACTTGCAGTATTGAAAGCACAACATCTTGAAAATCTTCAAGCCAACTGGGCAGGCAGGCCCTTTTGATATCTCTTAGAGTCCTACGTACATTGCCGGCGCTCCGGTCCTCTGCAGAGATCTCAGTCATGATGTAGCCTTTGGCTTCAGGGTTTCTGGTTCAGGGAGAGGGTTTCAGGTTTGGCGGTTGGGGTTAAATAGCTAGCTGCTAGCTGAAAAGGGAGAAGCCATAAGCTTTTACGGGTTCGGCGTTGGGACTTTGATTTGCAACTGAAAAGGGGGAACTGGAGTATTTCTGTCGTGTCCCTTTACTGAGGTCCCCAAATCCACGCAGTATCAGGCTATGGCGCCTTACACGCAGACTGTAACAAGTGCAACGCCTGTTTTTTAATGCTGATCACAGTCCTTCAAAGCCACGAGAGGATAGTCGCATGGCATTTTTTTTGCGGGGGGGGGGGGTACGGTTTGGTAGCTCTTCCTTTTTTGTTCGGCGCTCAGCGCCGTCGCAGAAAGACAAGATTAGCATCCAACACGGACGCTGAAAATTGAGGATGTGGGACTGGAGGATCGAGGCTTGTCCAGAAGCCCACTACCCCTTAAAAGTTGATGAGACAATGAGTGAGAGAGAGAGAGAGAGAGAGAGAGAGAGAGAGAGAGAGAGAGAGAGAGAGAGAGAGAGAGAGAGAGAGAGAGAGAGAGAGAGAGAGAGAGAGAGAGCAGAGAGAGGAGAGAGAGAGAGAGAGAGAGAGAGAGAGAGAGAGAGAGAGAGAGAGAGAGAGAGAGAGAGAGAGAGAGAGAGAGTGAGAGAGAAAGAGAGAGAGAGAGAGAGAGAGAGAGAAAAAAAAAGGAGAGAGCCAGAGAAAGACAGTGAGAGAGAGAGAGAGAATGCGTGATATACATTTGTATATATATATATATGTAAACATGTATGTATATGTATATACAGTATAAGTTATATATGTATACATATAATACTAAAATACATATATCATATTTCTGTGTGTTTACATACCTTTGAACTTTCTATGGTTTGGGATCTCACCACTAAGTTCAGATCATGTTTTCACAGCTTTAGCTGCAGGGGTCTATTTCGCCTAGACCCTCTCGGCTGTAGTCTCTTTGGCGAGTTGCTCTGGTTTTTGAACGCGAACCTACCATGGTTCCCCAACGCAACGAAAGTAGTGTAGAAGCCTGGATATGTTACCCCAAACCCTATTCCAATAAAAAACCTATATCATGAAATAGAAGCCAGGGATATCCACTGCAGCTCCACCATCCGGGTTCAAGAAAAAAAATGGCGCGCCCTCACCCCGTTGAACAAAACAAACGGTAGGGACTACATGTGGTTTCCTGTAGCTTCATTATCATATATAGGATACTATACGGTGATGCCAACAAGGAACCACGACGCCGACTACTCAAAAATTATGTTGAACTTGAATCTAGAGCCACTAGTCGACAACAATGAACGCAGGGTGATTACACTTGCGGTTCGGTTTCCGGAGACGGGTTTAGCTCTCAGCTAGGGTTGGGCATGGAACCCTCAGCTCTAAACTCATGAGGAACGCTATGGGGGTAAGGGAGAGTCAAGGCAGGGGACGACACTTCCTTAAAGAGGCCTTGTTAGACCTTAATGATCAACCCAGAAGCCAAAATTTAGGGTTTGGGGTGCGTGTGCTCTGAAAGTACCAACATCTTGCTACGACTCGACTCGGAACCTGGCTGCCAATCGAAATCATGAACGGTAGGGTTTTCGGGCTTAGGGCTTTCGGGTTTCGGTTTTTAGGGTGTAGAATCTCAAAGTTTAGGGTTCAGGGATCCTTGGATCCCTTTCCACGACTTGCTGACAGGTTACGGATGTGGCCGAGCGCACCCCGGCTGCCCTGCAGCACATCGAGCTCGCTTCCTGTTCCGTTCCAGCTCTGTAGCTTGAGGTTTACAGATTCAGGAAATGAGCCTGGGTTCAGGGTCTAGGTTTGAGGCTGAAGCTTTCGAAGACGATGATCCTGAACGCAAGAGGTTAAGGATCTATGTCCTGGGGTTCGGGTGTTTGAATTTATAACTTGCTGATTCAACTCTGCAGAGCTATCCTTGTGGAATTATTACTTGACTGGCTCTTCCTTGACCTTGACGGTTAATTACAGTAGGATTCTATTCTTTGCGGGCATGACGGGATCACAAACCAGAAGCTTTCTCATGTCGTCGGGTACATGCCCACTCCACTTAGGCTTCCTTAGAGTTTAGGGCCAGGCTTGGGGTTTAGAGTTTAGCTTGAAGCCAGACTTTAGCGTCGCCTCCGGTTCCGGAGCACACTGCCGCGCATCTGGGAGGTAGGGATCTCTTGATTTAAAAGCGTTGAGTGTCGCGTCCGATTTCGGAGCGTGCCGGCAGGGAATCACGGTTTAGGGACAAGGGATGCCTGGAAAAGCAAAAAACACGTTGGGACACTGCTGCTGTTTGGAGCTGCGGATAGATGTTTTTGCGGGGATACGTGCTACCACTGTAGTTCCGGTGTTGGGGCTTCCGTATAGGGTCCTGAATACAAACAATGCTGAACCAAAGAAAGTTAGGAGCTACAATGGAGACTATATAGACTGCGCACACACACACACACAAACGCATCTGCATCATGTCATGAAGACGTGGCACTCCACGTCCCGCGGTGCAAATCCTGGTGAGTAGTCGGATCTTTGTCGCTGCGATACTCAATTCCAAGCATCCTAACCCCTACAATACACAGACATCCAACAGAGTACCGTCAAGACTATTTCTGTCAGAGGAAGTCTTCGGGCGCCGTCCATTCCAGTTCAGTGGCGAAAAGCTCATTATATTTTCTCGAAAAACTAGGTTTTCTCATCTTCTAGACAAAACACAAATTCTGCGACTAAAGAGGGAGTCAAGGGTTGCATGGAACTTCAATTCCCTGCGCCCTAACCCCCAAGCCCTCGAGCCCCAAAACCTCATTTAGGGGCTCCGTGAGCGGGTTACGTTAAGGGCTCCTTTGAGGGTGTAACATAGGGGGCCCTTACTCATTGGAATAGGGTTTTGGGGCCCCTGATACTATAACTATCAAAAGGAGCCCCCACCAAAACAGTATCTTTTAACTGTCTAGGCCCCCAAAACACCCACCGCCCAAAAAGGCACCTTGCACGTCTAAGTACATGAAGTCGAAGCCCGCCGGATCCAATGAAAGCCGGGCCAACAGTCCATCGAGCGTCTCTGTCTGTACCTGGGCGGCTGTCAAAATTAAGGTCCCTTTTTGGGTACCCTAAATACTAGGTGCCGTATTATAATAAAGACCCAAAAAGGGACCATAATTTTGACAACCACCCATCTGCATCTTCCACTTTGGTGGAGTTTCTGGGTTTAAGTTTAGGGTACTGTCTCTGTCTGTACCTGCTTCTTCCCCTTGAACGCAGAGTTTGTTCCTGAATGAGGCTGTGTCTCTGTCTGTCTGGACCTGCATTTTCCCCTTAAATGGGGTCTCTAGGGCTTAGGGTACCAGGGTCTGTTCCTTGAATGAGGCTGTGGCTTTGGGCCTGTCGGTAGATAGGGTTTAGGGTTCAGGGTATGAGTGGGCTAGGGCATGACTCACTGGACTTTGAAGTAACCAGGGAGAAAAATGTATAGACTTTTATTTCATAATGGTTCCTCTAAGGAACAGGTACCAAAAAAAGCATTCAAGTATGGTACTGCAAACCCAGGTTAAGGTCCACAGTTTAGCTTTCGGACTCAGGCCTCCGTGGCTGACAAGTGGGTTTAGGGTTTACGGGAAGCTTTGGGTTGAGGGTCCCGTGCTTCAGGGCTTTGGGGTTTGGTGTTGGGGTAATTACCATGGCAGTGGGTGGAATGTTGGGTGGTGGGCTACTAGAGCTTTGCAAGAACCCCCAGCTCAGAACCCGTCAAACCCAGTAAAAACAACCCCCACAACCTGCAAGATTGCTCGTTGTCGGCATCTCCAAAAGATCAGGCAAAGGAGCCCGCATAAGGAATCCTTGAAGAAACCCAACAGTCCCAACACAAACACAAACACGAACCCTGAATTTCGGTACTGCCCCCATACGGTAACAGTCTAAGATTGGGTTACCTTTAAGGGCCTAGTATATCTGTATTACAAAGATTATTCAACTGTTACTGAGTGAGGGCAGAACCTAACCCTGAACCCTATCCTGCACCTCTCCGCGACCCTCCAAGACAAAAGGAAGACAAAAACAGAACCATAGACGTCCAAACGCCGAAAGTCCGAGAGAAGAAACGCGCCATTGATCTCAGTGAGCTGCCTTTTTGGGGGATGACTGCTCGATGAAGGGGAAGTAACCTCGGCAGGCACTTGGGGATTATAGGGTTTATAGGGTCTACAAGGTTTAAACTGCAGAGGCGGGATGGAGCGATAAATAGGGGCCGCAAGAATTAGACTGGGTCTTCTGTATGGGCTCGCAAAAAGCGTCTAAAGCTGCGCCGTCCGAGCGCTACCACAGGGACAATATCCATAAGTCAACACTGAGTAAAGTGCAAGAGAATGATCCATAAATGTACCTCGGCCAATGCATGTAAGCCAATATGTGAAACGCTCGGAATCACCTGAAATGCACTGCACACTGGAAAGAAGCTCCAGGAAATTGCATTGGGGCTCGGCGTCTAGAGCTTGGGGTTCAAAGATCCCTAACAAAAGTCGTCTGAGTTCGAGGTTTATGTAGGAACTTGGGGCACTGAGGACACACAAACCCCCTAGTTCTAAACCCTAAACCCCTAAACCCTAAACAAACCCACCTATGCCCCAAACACAAACAACCCAACAACTTCCGAGAGCCCGAGAACTCACCAAGAAGCTCTGCTCACGTGCCAGGTCGCTTCTGTGACCGTTGCCCAGGGGTTTCAACGAGGAGGAGATCGAGTTGTCTGTCCTCGACCCAGAAGGATTTAAGAGCTTCTGCAGAAGCTTCATAGGGATTTACGCTTAAACCCTAAAGCCACTCAATACTCGAAACCTTACCACTGAGCCGTGTATGTGGAGCTTGGGAATTGGATTTCGGAGCTCTCTGCCTTGGAGTTTCGGATTTGGATGTCATGCCTCACGACCGGCCTCCATCAGGCTTCCTGAAATCTCCGAACCCGACCAAAAGCACCAGGGGCGTCTGGGTGTACGTAGAGAAGACCCGCCGTATGTCTAAGATGTAGTTCCGAATCCATCTCAACTCCGATCGTATTATGAGTAGACGTCCCTTTGCCCCTAAACCCTGCCCTATCCTTGAGGAATTCACTTTCACACCTGTTTCTTGACGCCATGTCTTCGACATCTTGTGGAACCCCTGAACCCTACAGCATAAACCCTACCTTGAACTACCTAAACCTACCTGTTTTGTAGGGCCACTAGAATTCTGGTAGTTTATTGGTCCACCGTGGCAAAGAACCCGTCCTGTACAGGGTCGCCTCCTCTCGTCGGCTGCTGACGGCAGTGATGGCCACCAGATCATGTCGACGATTGTGCACCTCCGGTCGGAGGGTTCAGAGTAGAGGGTGGTCTTCATGAAAGGGCCGTAGTAAGCAGACTAGAGTCTTGGGGTTTAGCAGCTTATCCTGCAGTAAATATGATATAGTATACTTGCGACTGCAACAAGGAATCGCAAGGGTCTGAGGGTTCTCATGTTGGGGCCTTCATAAGTAATCGTTCGAATAGCAGGGCGGGTTCTTCATAGGAGTTCCTTTCAAGGGCTTTATAAGGGTTTCGACATAATGCTTAGAATCGGGTTTCGGGGTACAGTACCTTCTAGTATACTTATCATATAGAATATTCGGGTATATTGGAGCATTCAATTATGGTATATTTATAGTATGTTCCCAGTATGATATTACAGGTCATCGTATAATATCGTCTTAGGGGTTGCTTGAGGCTCTGTTAGTGGTGGGTTCAGGGCTTTCGCTTTGAGGGTTTAGGGCTCTTAGGGTTTACGGTTTAGGGTTTAGAGTTTAAGGTCGGTATGAGGATGTAGGGCTTTAGGGGCTGAGTTCCGGGTTCAGGTTTAGGATTTGGGAAGGTTTGGGTGTTGGATTGGCTTGGTTACAGGTTGGACCTTTGTATACCCATTCGGTCCCCGCCCTAAACCCTAAACCCAAAGCCCTAAATCCGAACCCATAGGCCTCAATCATAACGCATTCTTGTTCTTTCGGCGAGCATGCCACGGAAATTTCGCGTAGGCCTAAGTAGAGGCCGAACCCCTTTAGGACACTTCGATAAGGGATCGGATCTTACACGGATGGATGGGGTTCTGAAGCAAATGCAAGCATTAGCATGAGATCTCATGGAGCAAATCCTCCTTGCCCTGAAGTCCCTAGAACCAACATTGTTGGTTCTCGAGACTTGAGGGCAAGGAGGGGTTGATCTAATAAGAGTTGGCACAACTCCTAAGACCCCGAAGCCCTTAAGCTCCTAGACCTTATAAACCCCTGAATAAACGCTAAACCCCTCATCAAGTGCGCCGAAAAGACCGGATTTCACCAAAAGGCGCCCGAAGATTCTGCTCGAGCTCCTCCCTGCACTCCTCTTGCGCTTCGACCCAGAGCCTTCTTTTGGGGTTGAGGGGTTTCGGGTTTATGGGTTTAAGGGTCTCGGGGTTTAGTTTGGGTTTAGGGGTTTGGGGGGTTAGTCGGGTTTAAGGGTTGAGTACCCAGGGTTTAGGGGTTTAGTTCGAGTTTAACGGTTAAGGGCTTAGCGGTTTAGTTCGGGTATAAGCGTTTTGGGGTTAAGGATTTAGGGGTTTAGGGTTTTATGCTTGATGGCTTTGGGCTATAGGGTCTAGAGTTTAGGGTCCAGAGCCGCAATAGCATCGTGTTATTATTCTTTTGCTGTTTGCCATTGTAACCATCAATGCTGTGGTCAATACTGCTTAATTCGTGAGTATCTCCTTCCTGCAGAGTCTTCATGATTTGGAGGGGCTTTGGGTTTCAGGGTGGGCTTTTGCGCTTGTAGGGTTCGAACTTGTCAGCATAGGGTTGAAATGTCAAAATGAGCAAGGTTTTAGGGTAAATTTACAGAAAGAGCCTTGGGATCTGAGATCTGAGGGTTGCGGGTTTTCAAACGAAGCCGGGCCGACCCAAGCATGCCTTTCGGCCCTTGCGAGTCGTATTGATGCTGACATGGTTTAGAGGGTGTGGTATGTATAGGTGCCTGAAACATTGCCAATTTAGGGCTACTAGACCTGAGTCATGCCTCTGGCATGAAATCATGTTAGGCTTCCTGTTTGGGGCTCAGGGTTTAGGGTATCGGGTCGGGAGGGTATTATGGGGGGTCACCTCACATTCCGGAACCTGCTCTCATAGAGGGAAGCCGGTATGCCAGATGCCAAGGCGGTATAGCGTTCAGAGCTATAGAGATTTATGGAGGTTCTCCTCTGAGCTCACATATATACAGGTATGTATAGGTATATGCACATGTACAGGTATATGTATAGGTACATGTACATGTACATGTATATGTGTGCATGTATGTATGTGTACGTATGCATGTTCATGGAAGGTATGCTGTGGCTGCTATCATAAAAGAGCACGTATATGGTTGCTGCAGTGTAGGTCAACGGGGTGAAACTTCAGATACTTTGGCCTAAAGCAACATTCCGGGAGGTATCATACTCTACTCATGCAGGGAATAGTCTTAAGGGGCTGTTGTAGTTCGGGGTAGATTATCACATGAAACTTTCGGGGAGGTATCGCAGTATAGTTGTTCGCGGAATATGTTTAGGGTCTGCTGTAGGGGCATATTGTGTTTAGCCGCCGGCTGCAGGACGAATTACGGGGGACGAAATGATTAGACGAGGGTTGCTGTGAGGGTTCCTTATTAGGATTGCACAATGGGACAACATGAGAGTTTGTGCAATATAGACTTAGTTGCAGAATGGAAAACCCTAAACCCTACCTAACACTTCAGAAGTCATAAATCTTGACTCAACCATGGAAGAACCCCCAGCTAATGTGTCGAATAACATATGCCCACATTGTAAAACTCTAAACGTCAATAACAATAGACCACCGAATCCATCGTCAAACCCTAGAATCCGAGACCACGAAAGCAGAAACACTGTGAAACACCTCTCGGCATAATCCGACTTCTGACTTTACACATAACATTTAAGATTTAAGCTCTCAGCACTAAGGGGTTAATACTGGCATGACCGATTGGGTAGCCGTTTGAGCGAAGGAACATTGCCTTGAAACATCATGGGCTATGACTCATCTTTTGGGCACAACCCTAAACATGCGAGCCAAGCAGCACGTGAGGTACACCGAGTTCGTCATAGGTTGCCTCGTGTTGCACAAAGCTTGCATGCAGGTTCTTAGATTTTGAGATTTTCGAGTGTAGAAGTGTGGAAACGTAATGAATAGTCAGGTCCTAGACGCTAAACTCTAAACCCCAGAGTTCTATGAACTCCAAACCCTGCGCTTCATCTCTCTGTAAGCCCAAAATGCCTGAACTTCTAACTTGTCTATACCAAGGAGGCTGCTCTCTGTCGCGTACCATATAATTTCATTACATTGTAGACATACAACTCATAGCATAGAGTCTGACACAACAAAAAAGGACAGAACACCTTTGACGATACTTACCCTGTATATATACATTGTTAAGTGAATATATGCATATATAGATACAGTTACGCACACACCTACATGGGCATATGCATGTACGTACAAGAATGCAAATGCTAAGAGGCGGCGAGAGAGCATGAGAGCATGAGGGAGAGCGAGAGAGAGAACAATAAAAGACTGAGAAACTTGTAGAGAACGAGGCTCCCCCCAAACCCCAAACCCTCAACCTAAACCCTGAACACTAAGCACCCTCAACCCTTGAACCCTAAACCCTGAACCCTAGACACCCTCAACCCTAAACCCTAAACCCTTGAACCCTAAACACTAAACACCCTCAACATCCCTCAACCCTTGAACCAGAGCCATTCCCTCAGCAAAGCAGACTGCAGCGTAGACTCAGCTTCCTGGCCCACATTCGCGCCCACATGGAGCACGCCCTTCACCTTTGTGGTTTAGGGTTGAGGGTGATACAGCACCCTAAACCTAAAACCCGTAGGTGTCTAGTCTAGTGCACCCTCTAACACCAGTAGAACCTGCCCTTGACCTTTCAACGACATATGTGTATACGAAAGAATCGATAAACAAGAAACAAAGAGCCCGATTACCTACTATACAGTGGGTTATCGTTGACACAGCTTTCAGGGCACAGCATGCAAGACGAATGGAACCCTCACGGAACCCGTCTGGAACCCTGTAAAGCCCAGTGGAAACCGTACAAAGCCACAACACACTGCACAGGTAACTGGGCCCCTTAGGGTGGAAGGGCTTGCGCTTCAGTGCTCTCGGATCCCAGAAACCTAAACCGTCTGTCCTCAACACCCTAACCGTTTTAGGCTTCAGGGGGTTGCGGTTTAGGGGGTTTAGGGGTCTAGGGAGTTTACGGCTTAAGGTTTACCCCCCAACCCTACCTTTTAATGGGGCTTCCTGTTCCTCATTACGAAGGTTTTTCAGAGGGTGTTTGGGGAGTCCAGGTATTCCAGAACCTCAAACCTCAACTAGATGGTTTCCATCAAACCAGCTGACTTGCTCTCCAAACGAACTGACTTGTCCGGAGTCTGCGAAACGTCATGGCTCTGGGGTTCTTGTCTGAGCCCTGAAGCCTACACTCCGAAAACCTGCGTCCTAAGTTCATTGCTCCTTGTTCAGGAATTGCAGTGTTGGGCTTGGGGGGTTAAGCGTGGCGGTCGGGTCGTTAACAATGAGCACTCAGGACCTCTCAAGGTGAGTGAGTTGTGTGTGTGTGTGTGTGTGTACATATATATATATACGTATATATATATATATATATGTATATATACTTCGTATAAGTATGTGTGTGTATATATGTACACATGTGTGTACATACACACATACACTCCCATAAGTCTATACAGATATGTTTATCTGTATGTGTATACATATATGTACAGAGATGCTATAGTATCCTGTCTCTCTCTCTCTATTTATATACACATATCTCTCTCTCTCTCTCTATATATATATATATGTATATACCGACGACGCTCAAAAGAAACAGAAGTAGGTGGATCACCAGAACAAACATGCTGATTCCTCGTACTATGAGGGGTTTCAGCACTGGGGTGGCAGAAACCGTCTCGGGACCCCCATGTAATAAGTCGCTGACGTAGTCTGTTAAGTGCCGAAGGCGACTCAAAGTTGCGGAAACTTACCTAAATGCACCCTCGTCAAAAAATTGAATCCAGGTGGCAGGGATATCCCGAAGAAGCTCCTTGTAGTTCCTTGGGCTTTCACTACTTGCTCTGCATGGTTCCCTACACCCAGGCAAAAACTCGCTTTGCAAAACTATGGATGTTCACACCAAGTGTACAGAAACACTCCGACCCGACTCCTACGTCCAACCTCTACGACCACGACGACGGCGATCCTAAACCCTAAAACCGTATATCCTAACACTAGATATCCTAAACCCGAACCCCAAAATCTGAGCTTGAAAACCTGAACCCCCAATCCTAAACCCTAAACCCGTGGCCCTGAGGGTGTCCTTCATCTTTCCAGTTACCAAAACCCAAAGGTTCCCTAAGTGCCTATACAGTGAGGGTACTATGGAGTTCCGTATTAGGGTTCCTGCCTAGTTCCCTTTAAGGATTTCCTTTAAAGGTTTCAGGGGTCGAGGAGCCCTTGAAAGGAATCCTTTGAGGAGCCCGTGGGGGATATTTAAGCAGACCAGAACAGCAACTCCTAGTATCGAGCCGCTACTAGCTGCAATGTACCCTAATCCCTAAACCCTAAACCCCTAAACCCAAAACCCCCTAAACTCCACTTTGGGAAAAGCTCTCCGGCGGCGGTTGTAAGACCAGCTGCTGTTGCTGGATAGCGCACTTTAACGATTAACGTCGTTGAATAAGCCAAATTTGGGGTCCAAGTAATGGTATAGGATCTACTTTTGGGGCCAAAAAATCTACTAAGTACCTATTCTATTGTTGGTACTTGGACCCGTTGAGTGTTTGAGAAAGTAGGGAGATAAGCAGAGAAAAACAACCCACATGTGCGGGTGCTCACTGCTGAAGGGTCCAACATCTAGACCTTGAGTTGTCCAACCAAGTAGCTCCAAACTCTCAGCTTCTAGATGTCATACTCGAGCAAAAAGAAACCCTAATCTAAGCCCAAGCGCAACTCAAAGGTTTCGTTCCGGATCACGAAGAAAACGAACATGTGCGCATAGCGCCTGGGACATGGTTTAAGGTTTATAGGGCTTGGGAAGTTGAGGGTTTAGGGGGTTTGGCTCAATTTCACTTTCCGGGCCTAGGTTTGTTTCCGTGATGCAGAGTTAAGTGTAGGGCTTGGGATGTTGGGCTTAGAGCATTCGGACGAGGTGGTAAAGCTTCAGGCTTGGGTTATGGAAACTCCGCGACCGAAGGGGATCGTGATGATGGGGACCTTTTCACATCAAAGCGTCAGTATTGTTGCAAAGTATTTGTTGTGGGCTTTGGGCCTATGTGGCGCCACAGGGTACCACCTGAGAGTTTGAGAAAATTGCGGACCCAACTTAGCTTTTTATGGCCCGAGCATCCAGGGCTGCGTGCTTCAGACTCAAATGAGACCCTATACAGAAACTTTTTGGAGCCACCTAAACCGCCCAAAACCCCAAACCCCTAAACCTGAAATCGAAGAACCCCATACACCCTAAATCCTGGGTTCCTGATTAAAAAATTATAGTATAATGGGCCCCTAGACCCTTTTCTAATTATGAAGACCCCTACATTATACCCTAAATCCCTATACAGGAGCCCCAGTCCCCCAGTCACTGTTGGGACTCCGGGCTGGAAGCCCCACCAGCCGATGAACCAGGGCGCAGCCACGAGGAAGTAAACCTCAGGGAGCCGTAGTAGTAGCAGCAGCAGCAGCAGTAATAGTAGTAGTAGTAGTAGTAGTAGTAGTAGTAGTAGTAGTAGTAGTAGTAGTAGTAGTAGTAATAGTAGTAGTAGTAGAAGTAGAAGTAGAAGTAGAAGTAGAAGTAGAAGTAGAAGTAGAAGTAGTAGTAGTAGAAGTAGTAGTAGTAGTAGTAGTAGTAGTATGGTACATCAAGTCCTAACAGTCCCTGTACCCAAAGAGTATATACGTTGGCCCCAATGTACATATATAGGGAGTACTTTAAGGCCAAGGTATGTACCATTTGGGCACATGGACCCTTAGGGAAGGGTCTTTCGAACAAGAACAGGATTTCAATAGTTCCTTTTAAGGGGCTCCTCCAAAGGGTTCCTTTCAAGGGATGCCTTGCAAGGCTTCCTGTATATAACGCGATATGTAGGTGGTTTAAGGGTTCTGGGGTACATTCATTATAGCACAACCACGTAGAAAAGAGTTTCTTGAAGGTTTCCTATATACAGGGCTTTATGTAGGTGCATTCCAATCTGGAATTGGGTTCGGGGTACAACATAGTATAACTATGTAGAATAGCGTTCCTTCATTGTTATGCATTTCTGGGGCTGTGTAGGTGCCTGAAAATCTAGTACAGTATAATACTGACAATATTGGGTTCCTTTGAAGGTTCCGAGGGCTCTATGTAGGTGCCTTGTAAGCTAGACTAGCTTTTAGGGTATATCATAGCACGGTTTGGTAGAAGGGTCTGCGGGTATATTACAGTACAGTGTAACTTTGGTATTTATCACTGCAAGAAGGAAGCCTAGGCATAGTATTGGCTGCCTTGGCTTCTTTAAGCTTCTACATTAGGGCTAATGGTGACTTATGTTCGCTTGAGAGCATGCTGTGCGCTACACCCACTAACAGCCTTCAACCTTTTCCCCGAACCCTGAATCACTGAACCCTCAACCCGAAATCCTAAACCCAAGTTCTGGAAGAATTTAACCCGAACCATGCTATGGACTATACTGTTTCATTGACTCTGTAGCGGTTTAAAGAGTTCCGTCTGCCCCTCAAGCCCCGGTGACGACCAGACCCCCTTGAACAACACCGTAAACCGCAGCAAGTAGCCAGTTGCACCAGACGGCGGAGGAGTGCATGCTCGATCGAAATGAAGAAGACCTACCAGCGTGCGCTTTCACTTTCTGGCCTAACCTATGAAGCAAAACACCCGGCTCAACACTCATCCTCACCACCATCGTCGTCATCATCATTATGCTTCTCACTCCCCATCATCATCGGTCTTCATCACCATCCGAAACAAGACCGCCAGCTGCATCAAAAAAACCATCACCTTCGCCATCATCACCACGAAGAGCTATACGAGAGCGAGCACAGGCCCGGATGAATATCAGATGTCTAAGATGAGACGTAGCACTTTTAGGGTTTAGGGTTTCAGTGCCTCTTGTACGATGCATAGAAGTCACACTACGATGGGAGAGTAGTGTGTGAGTATCATTGTGCAAGAATCTGAACACTGAGCCCTAAATCCAATAACCCAAATTCAGCCCAGCAATAAAAACAAAAACATAAAGTGCTGAAGCACTAAACCCAAACCCGCAAACCTTGCGCCTTGTAGATGATTTTTTCCCCAATGCTGCCTTTTGCCTGGGCTGGGCCATGGGCTGAGAAAGCCCGGAAAAAAGACGGTGAGTTTCAACAACTGGTTAGATACTGCCTTGAAAGACGAGGCGGTTGACCAGCAAAACAAAATCGAGGTTCAAATCATGCGAGCCAGTACTCTTGCACCTAGGCTCTGCGAATGTTGAACCGTAAACAACTACCCAAACCAACCTTCCTAGGAATTTTATAATAGGCAACTACAAAAGGCAGTCCATGGTGGTTTCACGTGAACTCAAGTCAGGCTCCACACTGCGCAGCCACTCCAAAGCCATGGAATACGGAACCCCCGAGATCCCGAACCAGAAACACCGGTAATCAAAGAATGCTCAGGAGTCCCTACATGGTTTTAGCGGCCTTGGGTGTTTTTGTTGGATTGAGGTGACTTTGGGCTTTAGGGTGCATGGCGTAGCTAGAGCTTTTTCAAACCTTCCAACCCCAGACCTCTTGACTCTCCTGAAGTACCCAGAGAGCCCAATACCTCTTTATTAAGGAATATACCTTAAACCACTTGAGGCTTCATATTATGGTTTAAGCTATATTCCTTAATTAAGGGGTATTGGGCTCTCTGGGTAATCGTCTTACCCTCAAGCGCCGGTGAGCTACGAGAAGCTAAGCTTGCAGCAATATAGGTGCCCAGAAGATCTACCAATCCTATTTTGTGGTTCCTTTTTCTGTTACGATAGCATAGTTCTACTCCATTAAAACCCTATTCAACCCATTCCACTTCTTAAGGACCCTAAATGAAACCCTGAACCCTAAGATCTGGTCGAAGGTACGTGCGCGGGAAGAAAGCCGTCCATCCTCTACTCTTAGCGAAAGCTCTAGCGGCCGCTGCCTGTACAGTGCGGAGATGCGCCTGAGCCAAACATCGCAATGCAAACTACGGCTCCGTGTGGTTCCATCAAATTGCATCGGGAAGGGTTCAGTTTTAGGGAGTTGTGGGTTTAACTGCGGGTTTAGGGCGTATTGCGTCTAGTAGAAATATGAAAGCATGAGGGTGTTAAGCAACACAGGCCGAGCAAGTTGTAGGTCAGGGCTTCTAGATTCTAGTTCGAACGACAAGATCCCAGGTGGATGTATGGGGTGCTTGCGCAAGCAATTAGAACATCCTGATTAGTTCGGATCTGACGTTTACTGGTCTCTGTGGCTGTTGCACTTGGATCTTCGGCGTGTTCGGCTTAGGTGTTAGGGTTTATGGGGCTTAGGGATGTTTCGGGTTGAGCGGTCTCGGGGCCTATGGGTGTGATTTGAGGGTTTGGGATTTCAGGTTTAGCGTTCAGGGTTTAGGGCCAATAGCTTATAGGAACCCTTGGAGTTGGGAAGCAGAAGCGTCAATTGGCACGATGGTCCCATGTCTAGTTCATGTTGGGATAGTCTTGATCAAAGATGTTGTTGCTTGACAAGGGTTGCCGAGTTTCCTGGCCTCAAGGAGGCTGCAGAAGCTGGTCGTTATAGATATACTGAACTTAGAACCATGGCAAAAATTACAATTCTAGTTGTTTCTTAGGGATTATAATAACCAAAACAAATTTTAAAAAAAACTAAGTACCCCTAAGATAGTGGGTACACATGAACCCCAAAACTCCTAAGCCCCAACTCTGATCTCCCATGGCAGGCAATGAACCATAAACCTTAGAAGCTGCCCCCACCCTGTAGCAGTGGCATAATAGGAATGTAATAGGGCCCTAATATAATCCTTAAAGTCACTATTACAGGGTGGGGGCAGCTTCTAACATAAACCCCGAAACCCTACAACATCGCAGGTTTTGAGCCCTTCAATATAGGGACGAACCGCTAAACAGCAGGTTTTCGGATTCTGAAGGTAAACCATCAATCCCCCAAAATCCCCAACCCAAATTCGGTCCTCAGAGTCGTGCACTTGCACGTCTTTTTCGTTTCGCCGGGTGCGTGTCACATCCTTTGGTCACTTTCTGCCGCCGCTGACCGAAGGGGCCTGGAAGCAGGGCAAGGCGCAGGCGATTGATTTACCTTAAAAACATTGAACCCAACCCTAAATCCGAAACCCTAAACCCCAAACCCTTAAATCCCTAATCCGTTCGGGGCTAAAGAATTCAAGCTTCGGCTTTTAGGGCGGACCTCAGGCTGTGGGCCGAGGTATTTGGGATTTTGGTTTGGGGTATTCTAAAGTGGACGCCTCTTCGGGTTTCTAAAGGTGTGTAGCAGTGCTTTCGGATGTACAAGGGATTGCTAATCTAAGTATGTTGGGTTCCAGGATGCATTTATGTTCAAGCAGCCTAAAGACTTGATCATACTATACCGCGCAGGGCTACTTCTCACAGCTATACTGAGAGATAGATAGATAGATACATCTACATATATATATATATATATATATATATATATATATATATATGCGTACATATATGCATATGCATACACTGACATGAGCATGTGTATATATATATATATATATACACACTGACTGATTGATTCATTGTTTGACTTTACTGTAGTTGACTGATTGGTTGATTGGTTGATTGATTGATTGGTTGATTGACTGACTGACTGATTGATTGGTTGGTTGACTATGTACAAGATTATACATGTACACATACATACCCTAATACCCGATTCTGCGTATGATGAGCCCTGTGTTGACGATTCTTGTCCAGGACGGATATTGCGGCATCCGATTACTTCGAAGTGTCAAGGCCTCTGAGCTTCAGGGCTTCGGGATTTGGGCTTGTAGGATTTTAGGCTTAGGGCTGCAGGGGCGAGGGTTTAGGGCTTATTGCATACAGTAGTTTATGGTATACAGGGTCTATAGACTTCAGGGTTTAAGGACTTGAGCCGCGGACTCTTCATGAAGGTTCCCCCTCCAAGCCCCAAACGACCCACTATGATCTCTGAATCCTGAGGAGCACGCAGGGCTCAAACTCCCTCCAGTTGCCTAAATACTAGGCCATAATATATGGTTAGTCAGTAACCTACTTTTTAGGCTCCTGGAGCCCTAGGGCCCTAGGGGCAGCCTAACCCTTCAACCCCTCCTGGCCTTAGCTGCGCTGGCGCCACATCATCGGATAGGGGAAGTCCTGTGCCTTTCATGCGCGGCGATTAATGTAGCGGCCAGAATAATTATTATGTAGTTTTGGGGCCCACTCTACTGCAATTATAGGACCCGAAGAGTAACCGAAGCGACACTTTGAAGCTTCAATTGCAGAACGCATGCGGGCAAAGTCTGAAGCTCAAATCCGGCATTGTAAATCAAAATGTATCAACTAACGCACCTGCCTACATACCTGCCTGCCTGCCTACCTACCTCGTTAGCTACCTACCTACCTAGCCACCTGGAGGTATACATATGTACATACAGTGCGTACCCATGTACAGAAAGAACTACAGCGCCATGAGCCCACATGTGCTTTTGAAGACCACATTTTCCGAAACAAGAACTCAAGGGGCCCCAGCATAAATTAGACTGCAAATATTTGGATCTTTGAGCTGAAGATAGGGCACCCCGCCCCCCAATTTACAGGAACCTTGAACCCTAAACCCCCGACAGCAAAACGCACAGAAATTCAAACCCCTAACCCCACAAACTCAGAACTGAAATGATAGGAAGTGCTCAGAACCCTAATTGTGAATTCGAGAGAGACGGACCTTTCCGCCCCAGAGATTCCACTTGTGAAGGCGGACGAAGAGAATGTGCCAGTTCACCTTTGGGTTGATTTGTATGCTTTATGGTTCAGGGTGCTTTTCGCTCAAAGTTCGAATCTCCCAATGAAGGTCTTTAGGTCTGAGACTGCTGGAAGCTTGGGGTTTATTTAGGTGTCTAAGAGAAAGTTTGGGGTTGAGAGGTTTAGAGCTTATGGTGGGCTGTTCCCAAAGACCCTGAAACTCACCTCCCAAGCCCTACCTTAAGCTACCATCAGCTACCATTTTGCAGGTTCTCATGAGGGACTCGTAAAAAGTAGGCTTTGGTGGTTCAAGGTAGGCCCTAAAGGTCTCGGTTCGGCCATGCAATCCAAGAGCTGCGAGTTTGGCCTTAAGCTCTCAGAGGTCTGCTTTACCCGAAGCACCTAACCTTACTTTTGGCCCTGCCTACTCGGTCCCCTAATCCTGCGAGTAGCTCGAAACCCCACCAAACCATAATAACTGCCTCGGTAGAACCCTACCTTAAACCATACAGACACTTAATAGGAGGAATAAACCCTTCGTCCACAAGCCCTGTACACTTAAACCCTAGGCCCAAAAGCACTGCATGTAGGTCCTGGGAGTTTAGGGTTGTGGGTTTATGCCCTGTGGATTTTGCAACGAAGCCACTTACACAAAACTTATTGTACCCCATAGGAGCCTTCTAGAACTCTCGTAACGGTTGCCCCACACCCTAAAAAGCCATAGCGACAGAAATCCTAACTTACCTTTAGTTAGTAGGGAATGGAGGTATGGGGTACAATTATAACTACTATTACTACCAGTCTTCCATTCCCTACTAACCAAAGGTAAGCTAAGAGCCCGGTTCGGCTGCGGGCCTTCTCGAAGAATTCATCCACGTTGCTTTCGCGGATCAGCGCGAGCGGGCGCTCCCTGGCAAAGAGGTCGCATAAGGGTCTAGGAAGGGAGGTTTAGGGGTTAGAGGTTCGGGGTTTAGGGTCCAGAGTTTAGGGCTCAGGAAGTTTAGTTAGTTGAGCATTTGAAGTTTCAAGCTCGGACACTGGGCATGCGGGGTCTTGGGTGTAAATGCTTGCCCGTACAGCCCAGATCTAAAACCCTAAACCTAACCCAAACCGCTGAACCCCCTGAAACCCGTCGTTCTTCCCGGCGCCCTGAACTCCCTAATGGTGCATGCGCCCAAATATTATTACTTTGGCCTATATAGGGACTACTTTAAGGCCACAGAAACTACTAGTTGGGTACATGGACCAATAGGGCGTGCTAGATTTTGAACGCAAGATCCCGCTGCCCTGACGAAGCCCTACAAGCACCCCACATCCCGAAATGCCGGGGCTCTAAACCCCAAGTCAGCACCCGGGCTCTGAACTGGGAATCTTACCCGGAAAGGGAATCTTACCCGAAAATATAGGGATCATATTTTATTAGACTCGGATTTTGGGTGGTGTTGGGTGGAAGTACAATGCAAAACGCTTGTAATTCAAGTTGTAAGCATTCAGGCTCATATATTAGATCTTAAACCTCCTGAGTTGTGAATTCCTACTTCACCTTCTTGTGGTTCTGGAGAAAAGATGGACGAGACTTGCAACTTTGAGCGGAAACTGGTGCTGTGGACTGTGAAAGTAACATTAGTAACGACATCAAGTATTGGCACAGCTTGCATGCCGCTGTGCTTGATCTGCCGGTGTTTAGGGTCCTGATACCATACTAGCCTTCACACTGGGATCCTGATGTTACGTTTCAGGCAATCCCTGGCCCTAACCCTCACAAAAACCGGAGAAGATGTCGGATCTTTCGTTCTGTCAGAGACCTGTAGTCCCCAAAACACAAGCAAAATCCTAATCCTCAGCCCCGAAGCAGCAGAAACACAAACTGTGCAGAAACAGTAAAAGAGCAGAAAGCCCTACAATCCAAACTTAAAGCAGTCCAAAACTCATGGCCTCATGCAAAACGCCGCACAGCCCTAAATGCAGCCAGCAAGGCCCATAAGGAGGAGACTTCATCACATAGAGATAGAGACCTCGTGGATGATTGGGTCTTGGAGGCTTGGGTGCTCAGGGCTTAGAGTGCTTCGAGGAAACCAGGTCTAAAAGAGGCTTCAGTAGAAGGTATGTACATGAAAGCTGCAATGAAGAGCAGTCGAGGGACCAGGTTTTGCTTTAGCGGA